CAAGGAAGCATAATAAATCGACGTTCCGAATGCGAAACTTGGGGAACTTTCCACGTCATGTTGGTGATCTTGTTTCCCTGCAAATCTCGGCCGACATGGTTGCACTTTTACGTGTTCGCCAGGAAACGCATTGACTTAGCTGGCTTTCAGCCTAGAAAGTTTCGCGTCTCGCCGAGAAAGGAGAACGAATATTTACAGAATTTTTCGCCCCTTCTGCTTCTCCCCCGTTTCACTTCCGCTTTCCACTTTTCTTTCTTCTTTTGGGCAAAACGAAGAAGAAATTAGAGTGCCTTGGTACATTCCGATGGCGAAGTTTGATGAGGACTCTGCTACACCAGTAGTAGCAACGCAAGCTTTTGTTCGGTCTTTGCAATTCCTCGCCTGATAATCACTGTTTAATCAATGGAAGATTGTCAAGACGCTTGTTATTTTACGGTTCATTTGAAAATAGTAAATTTAATTACATATGATTTGCTTGAGTTGCATTTTATTCTCTGCACTCGTGTTAGGTTGTTGACAGATGCGTTAAGTTTTCAGAATCGCGTTCTGAAATGCTACTAGAAGTTAACCGAAATAAAGGAATTTTGGATTTCTCAAGTACTGTTCGAGATAATTTTTAAAAACTGGACTTGTGAATCCATTGAACCCGCCTTGACCGGATAAGATCCTTTCGTTACTATTGGCAGGTGTTTTGAAAATTTTAGCACTTGCATCTTAGTTTAATAAACCGAATTTTAAAACGGTTTAAAATAATTGTAATAAAAACGGTGTGGCCGAATAAAAATAAGAAATTTTGCAGCCGTGTTTTAGAATTTACCCTTCAGTCACCCACGTTACGCGTTAAAATCTGCCGGTCAAAATCGAATTCCACTGTGCATTCTTTATAGCAAAAATTTAATAACGAAACTGACGTAAAATACGTTTTCGAAGACCTCGTTGCGCCTTGAAATAAAGATTTTTCTTCTAACACAGGCATAAATAACCTTGTTCTCCTATGGCGAAAGCGCATTGAAACCAGCGAAACGTACTCTGACTAATAAATATCATGTTTTACTAGAACTATAGACGCGGAAAGTTTCATCGACACCTTATCAGCAACAGTCTAATGAAGCATGCTCTTTGCAACTTATGATGTTCGATTGGAGAATTCTAGGACACCCGTGTGTACAATTATTGTATTATAACAATAAGGATATATGGTAGTTTGCTCCATACTCGCTCATCATTATCATAAATGTTCTCTAAGCTACTCAGTTACTTGTGAAAAATGGGTTTTGTACGATAACCTTGCATGGAAACACGTATATTGTTAAGCTGAAACGACCTGTTCCAACAATAGCGGGGTTTATGCGAGCGGAAGGGACAGATGTGTGTGTATGGCGAGATAGGAAAGTGCCTCCGTATTACGAGTCGCTGTAGCCTGGGGAAACGGTTAATTTTCAGAAGTATTAAAAGCGACTCCGAGTCCTGGAGGTGACAATTTAAGAATAGTCGCTCAATTTTGGTAAAAAAGGAAATTAACCCCTTTATGTGCTAAACTCTAGGTTTAGGCGCATTACTAAACATTTCTTAATCCGAAAAATCAAGGTGAAAATACTTTTAAAAATAGTCACACCAAATAGTATTAACAATTTACATTATGTAAGAGTAAAGAATTACAAGGGGCTTAAAACGACTAAAGGGACTTTTCCAGGGAAAAGCGGCTACTTAAGGAAGCCCCGAAAAAGGCACGAGGCCTTTTGTCGTAGACCTTCTCTGCACGCGCATCGTGTCGCTTTACATTTAAAATTAGTTTAAACATTACCGTTTGAATAAATATATTTTTGTTACACAACAACGCAAGTAATCATTTACACCACGTCACTTCCAAAGAATCATAGAAAAAATATGAAATGATGAAAATTTCTTATTAGATTTACTAATTTATTATAAGTTTGTCAAATTCATCGAGTTGTTATAAATTTATCAATTTATTATAAGCTCATCAGGTTTCTTGATTCATTATAAATGTATGAAATTTATTTACTTATTTATAGTCTCGTCACAAAACCGTAACTAAACCTCAGTTTCCAGTAACGAAACGATCAAAGTATTATAGTTCTAGGTATATTATAATTCAACTGTCCCCTTTTTCGCAGTCGGCGTTTCATCGACCTAATGAAAAATATAATATGCACCAGAAAACCAGTTGAAGCTTCCATTTCAATTTAAAACAGAGAATATCCCCGATTAGCTTCGATCACTTCATTTTTACCCATTCGCATACATATTTCAACCGTTTCCGGCCACTGGATCCTCCGCGACACAACGTGATTCTTTCGTGTCAGATAAACGTATTATACACTGCTCGCCAGAAAAATTGCAACACCTTGAAAATGAAATTGCACAAATTGCAGATTCAATGTCAAATCTGAAAAATGATCGAAATTTGGTTAGAAAAGGTTGTATTTATTACAAAAGGTCACTTTTTCCTCAGAGTAGTCCGAAAAACATATGTGACCCAAATTTCCAGATTCGTGCAACCCCAATTTCGGGGTGTTCCAATTTTTTTGGCCAGTGGTGTATATAATATGATTGTGGAATTAGAAATATAGATCGGGGCCTCCGTACCCAAAAATAGGAAGCCGACACAGGAGAATAGAGAGGGAGTGGTTGGCGTAGCGCGCAAAGCCTCGGCTTGGTAAGCCGAAGGTCTCGGGTTCGATTCCCGTTGGGTCCCTCAATATTTTTCCGTCGTCGGTTCCTACATAGATAGTAGTTTATTAACAAAATATAAGAATTAACTATAATACAATTGACTGTGACACACGCTTCTTCTATTCACGCCTTTCGACTTTTCCAAACACACTGTCTTTTCATCCCTCGCACGCCGTACTTAATAGCCAGAGGCCCTTTGTCGGCCTCTCGTCGTGGCCTGCCCGTTGGGCCTGGCTATCGTCGCTCGTCACCCGCTTTCTCTCTCATGCTCGTCACATTTTCTTAAAACTACTCTTCGATAAAAGAAATCGCTTCGAATTGGAGATTTTCGAAGGAAGAGACGAACGAAAAATTCCGCGAAATGCGCGAAGATCGAAATTCATAAATATACACTGTGTGCTTCATAAATATTCCGTCGTCATTCGTCAGACGTCCCCATGTGTAACAACGGCTCCCCCGATGGAACGTCGGTGTCCAATTAACAGAGAAGCACGTTATCAGGCAACACCTGCGAGAATAGATCGAAAGTCGTCGCATCACGAATTTCTCCGATGAAATTAATCACACCGTGATGTTTCTTTGACTCTGCACACCCTCTTCCGTCGTCTCTTCTTCCTTTTTTTCTTCTCTCGCATTTAAACGAGGCAACTTCCTTTGTGTCGTTTTTCCGGCGACGTTCCTTTCAACTTTTCAATGCTTCATGATTATTTTTCCCCCTGCTTTTTTTATTTTTCGTCTTCGGTTCGGTGTATTTCTTTCTTGTTTCTAGCTTTCGTCCCCTTTTTTTAGGTTCTTTTTCGCACTTGTCGATGCCACGTCGAGCGTCAATATTATTAATTAGTGTTGAGCATGCGGGATGACTTCTAATGAATCTCGAGTGGCGACGCCGTCGCGGTGAATTCATATTTCTTCATTAGGTAGGGAATACGGTATAGTAATTAATGATATATTTCGTCAACTCGTTGCTCTCTTTTTCGTCTGCTCTTCATTTCTCGATTTTTTTCTTTTTTATAGAAGTATAGAAAAATCTTCTTTTCTTTTTCAGGCTTATTTATCGGCTAGAATGCGA